GCTGTTTTAAACTCGGGTTTAAAGAGAAAGCAAAACTCCATCTGATAAAGAAATCATGAGCTGTTTTAAACTCGGGTTTAAAGAGAAAGCAAAAGTCCACCTGATAAAGGAATCATGAGCTGTTTTAAACTCGGGTTTAAAGAGAAAGCAAAAGTCCACCTGATAAAGGAATCATGAGCTGTAAATACGTACGCACACCTGAATGGGCACTAGACTCTTACAGTAGCTCGCAGGTGTGAAAAATACGCTTAAGGAAGGGAGCATTCAAGGGTGAGAGTCCCCAGTCTCATCTCTGCAACTGAAGGCTTCCTTCTTCCCCGAAGAGATGACACAGTGAACTAGCTCTGAGAGGTCACGTCGCAGCGCCAGAACCTCGGAATCGCGCAACCAGGAAGCAGCCGAGTCCGCGCTGAGGTCTGGTGGCGCACCGCAGCCCGACGCGGTCCTGTCAGCCGAGTCGCTGTCTCCCTCGCCGGGCTCACAGCCACCCGGAGCCCCTGCTTGAAACCCAGGAGCGACAGGACACGACAGGAGCTGTGCGAGAGCTGACCCGGCTCTGGTGACAATGCAAACAAAAACAAAAAAGACGCTCTGCAGTTGTCTTCGGTCTGCACGGTGGCCAGCTCCATTCGTTCCCCCTCGTCTCTCTCTGCCATTCACGCTGGAGAGATCCATTCGATGCGCTCATTTTGATGATGGAAAACAGGAACAAAAGTAGTGTTTCTTAAGCAATCCTCCCGATTTTCTGTCAGTGTGCTGGACGTCACCAGGTGACAGTTATACCCCCAGTGACCTCAATAAACTAAAGGCAGGTCTGTGAACTAATACCTTTCTGAACAGACTGAATCAGTGGGCCACCCTTGCAAACTGGTGCTTCGTCCACTGGAGGGGGTGGGTTTCACTCCAGCTGTTGTACAGTGAAGCAAAGTACTTTATCCAGAGTGCCTCAGCCAGCTCACCTTCATAAATCAGGACCGAATTTAGACGTAGAAAAACCGGACTGTGTTATATATGTCAGTTACTTCAGATAAATGAGCAGCGCCAATGATAATGAACCGTTAAAGGTCTAAAGAAATGAACGTCCATCACGGGTTGTGGCCAGCCAAGCAGTGAAGGTATGAGACTGGCGTAGGGGAATAGACGAATCTGCGTAAGGGCAATGTCAACGACTTTTAATGTAAATGAGACAAACCGAATTATTCCAAACAACGTAGGCAGCAACGTTACCTCCTTGTAGCCTGATTTCTTCAAGGAAAGTCATATGGCTGCTGTAAATGGTGCAGATCGACCACTAGGTGGGGCACTTCCCTCTGGACCTGGAAGTCTGAGCCTTTGCCCTATTAAGATCAGATCACTTTATTGGCCAAATACAATTTCTTGTATGAGATATTTTGTCTTTTCGCAGACCCCAGCTTGCTCTCCATGAGACACACAGACAGGGAGAGAAGCTGGGGGTTAGAGCCCAGGGTCGGCCATTTATACGACGCCCCCGGAGCAGCTGGGGTGAAGGGCCTCACTCAGGGGCCCAACAGAGTAGGATTCCTCTGCCGGCCGCGGGATTTGAATCGGCAACTGGCACAGGCGTGGATCCTTAGCCACAGAGCCACCACTCTGCCCCTGTATTACAGCGATCATGCTGTAGTAGATGACCGTCCTTCAGAGGAGAAGTCCTGACTACCTGGTCGTTCATGATCCGCTGGCACCGTTTGTAAGACCAGGGGTGTCAACCTCTGGGCCTCAACAGCCTGACCTCCCTGAAATTAATTCGGCTGGTGAAGTGATCCCTCTCTCCTCCCGCTGCCCAGTGTCACCCAGCTGGAGCTGCCCTGCAGGGCTTGGAGAAGTGGGTCCCCTCCTACTGTGAAGGAGTCGGGGGACCTGTGGGCCGAAAAATGCTCTGTAAGTGGAATTCACTATTATAGCAGAAAGCCACTCCTAAAAATACAAATGCCATCATTAGGAAAACCCATGAAGGAAAATTCAAAAGCAATTGTGCAAAAGCA